GTATTGCCCGGCGAGACGGGCTTTGCGAAGTTGATCCGGATAGGGCTTGCTCCTGGGAAGATTTCCTTGCCATTCATGTTTGCCTTGGCAGAAATGGCGCTCTCGACTCGCTCAAAGTTGACGAACCCGCAGTTCTTGTGAGTGAGAACACGAACGGAAACAATGGGCCCATGCGATTTGAACATCTCGATCAACGTAGAGGTCGTCGTGGAGGTTGGGATATTGCCCAACCAAAGGGCGCTTGTGGGACCTTCAAGACCCTGGTCTTCTACGCCGAGAAGTCCAGCATTGCGACTGCTCGATCGGCCGAGGCTCAGCCCAGCAACAGCTTGAGGAAGATCCTCAAATTTCTTCTCTTCTTGCAGGCGAAGCTCAGCAGCAGCAAGTGGGTTGGCAGAACCAGGAGTGGGACCGGCAAGGAATGAGTTCATCAGATGTGAGCCGGGGGCGTCGAGAACACCGGCGGTTCGGGCGCGTCGTCGGGTCGACGATGCCTGGCTAGCAAAAGCCTGCACGGCCAAGTTGTGGTTACGAATGGCGGCATGTGTGGCCGCGAGCTGATCCTGAAGGGCTGCTGCGTAGTGTTGCTCGTTGACGGGAAGACCATCGATCTCGTACTCATCATCGGGATACTCATCTGCATGCACATCTTTGTTGTTGACGGAATAGGAGCGAATGCGACTGGCCTGTCGGGCAAAATCCAAGTTTGGTATGTACGGTGTGGCAATCTGAGCTCGAGCTTGCTGTGGGGTCTCGGCAAGTCCAAGATAATCAAGCGTTCTCATATGAACATCTGAATCGTTGCCGCCCTCCCTGGAAAAGTGCGATTGAGAAGGCGAGCTGGGACCGTTCGAAGGGACACTAGCAATGCTTGCAAGAGTGGATGCTCGCTCACGCCCAACTCCAGTGGGATTCCAGCTACTGAAAATCGAGGGGCCAAAAGGCGAGCTTGTACCGGGCAAAGGAGCAAATTGGCTGCGCTGAGGGAGGGAGCCAGCTCGAAGTCGAGAAAGCAGTGCAGAGCTACCTGAATTACCGTCTACGGCCTCAAGTCCAGGGGAGGGGGTCTTGTTGTATGGGGTTTGCGATGGGGTGTTTCTGGCCGACTTGGCTCCCAGGCCAGGAACGGGCAAATGGCCAGGGCCGGGACCTCCAGGGGGAAATCGTGAAGGTACTGTGCCGGCACGTGCGCGACGAGGTTGATTGTGCGAATCTGGGGTAGGAAGTCCACCAAAGTCGGGGAAGCCATCGGTAGGAGACTCGGGTATATTCTCGCGCAATGGAGTAGAGTTCCCGCTTGTTGGAGGGCCGCCCCATGGGTTCAACGGAATCCCAGCAACACCTTCTTGAGCTTGAATCTCGCGAGCCCTACACAAAGCCGTGGTGTCAGCAACAGACCAACAGGGAGGGGGGAGAAACTTCCGAATCGGTTTTTCAAGAATCAAGAAGTCAAAGTTCGGTTCAGTGCGGGAAGTCTCACCTTTTGGAAAATAATCTGCTCGAACCCCCGATCTCGTGCGACGGAGAGCCAGCCCCCGAGCGCGAGTTTCCTGACATGATGCTGGCGGAAGAGACACCACTAGCAAGACCAAAGGGGGATCTGTTCACACCGGCGCCAGGTGTTTCTACAGGCGAATTGTTGACGGAAGGAGATGTAGAACGTGGCTGACTCGGAGGGTGAGAGCCAAAGCCAAGAGGAAAGTTTTCGGATCTAGAAGTTGACATTATCAATTACCTGGCCCCACCTCATGAGACGGGCAGCTTCTATCGTCTCGACTGCAAAGGAGGGAATAATATTGTCGGTCTGTCAAGGTACAATATGTGGCGTATCGTCGGAAGGACAGTAAGTCGGTTGTTAGGTCGACGTGGATAGGAAAAAATAATAGGTCGCTTCTCCGGTAAGAGGGGAAGGGGGAAAGCGCCGCGTCTCTCGCGGATTCTCGAACAGACGAAGAAGGCTCAGAGACCTGTGGCCATGTATTACAAAGTCGTGCTATTAGCTTCCTCTAGGGAGCTGAAGTCGGAACTAGGCCAGAAGGGAAAGCAGAGCAGGACTGGCTGCCAGCGATGAGCAATCCCCAAAGGCTCAATCAATCGAGTCAATGCCGTGGCCGATCGCAAAGAGGCTAACGAGTCGCGCTCGGAGTCCTGGAGAAGTCAAGCCCAGGATGGTCGATGGGCACGGCCGGGATGGACACGATGCAAAGAAGAGGCGTCTGTTGAGGGTGCTGTTGAACTGAACCCTGGGTTGGTCGATCAGCCGCGAAAGGCAAGGGCTGGCCGCGAGACGTGCCGAACGAAAGGAAGAGGCGGAAAGAAAATGAGAGCAGGAAAAGAGGCACAAACTAAAGTAGTCATGAACAATATACAGGCCTCATTGGGGGTTGGGGGGGGACGGGTTGGGAGAGGTGGGTGTTAAGTCGAGGGATTGGTAGGCCTGGAGAAGGGGATGGGTTGAGGTGAACAGAGAGAATCGTGGATGGATGGAAATGAGGACGTAGCAGCAAAAGTGACGGGCTTGAGCGCCCTGGAGAGAGCGAAAAGTGGTACGTGTGTTGCGGTAGGAGGTACCATCTGTGGCCTGTAAGGAAGGTGGTTGTCACTCCTTAGGCCCCAAGTCCATGTGGCCCTTAGCCTCCAGCAGGCTGTCTGTGACGGCAGTGCCAGGTACCTCTCACAGTACCTGTAGCTTAGTACCTAGGCCCAGTCATCCACACCCTTTCAGTGCAGCTGTTAGCAGCAGCGCCTCTACAGGTACCCACAGGGCCACAAAGGAATACCTAACAGGCAGTGCAACTGTGGAGGGCACAGTAATCACATCCATAGCGCGGCAACTGGTACGTAAGGGACTTCTATATGCAGCAACCAAAGGGTCACCACCGTCTGCAATGATGAGGAAGAGAGGTCTCAAGTACCCATCGACTAGGTGGCCAGACACCATTCTATATTCTATGTCTTACGTAGCAACAACTTGTGATGCAATTGCAGGCGTAAGCACATCCATATCTAAACATTACAGACGAAAATACCTACGAGAGACTGCTCAAACCCACAAAGATTCGAAGCTAGCGGGCGATCCTAGAGGACACAATGCATCTACGAGTAATGATGCTCTATCCCTGGAGGGATTCATCAGCTTATTGATTGGCCAGATCCGTCCGGTGAGTGCTGCTTCCTCTCGCACTAGTCCTGCCAAACATGCGCACCAAAATTCTTATATGCCAAAAAATAGATGACAATAATAATCCCCAACAGCACACATATTTAGAAAAGGACGTGGGTACTTGGGGTTTGGCAGGTGGGCACCATGGAAGCCTCTATTCTAGAGGTACATTATCCAAAGTACACAATGTTCAATACACAGGTACCTCAAGCGCTTCCGGTGGGTTCTGCATTAACCATCTTGCAGCTTATTATCACAGGACGCAGAAATGCCTTTTCCCATTGGGAGAGAAATTTGCCCCCCCCCCAACTTGAGGATCGTGCATGGTACCGCGGCGTACCTGTGTATTACTACTCGACCCGTGTCCTTCTTGAGACCTAGAGAGGGGGAGACGACCCAATTGGAAGCGGTTTGGAACTGGGGATGAAACACAAAGAATCCCCTGTACCTGAGGTAAGGACTGCCACCTTCTTGGCGACTAAATTCGTCTACATCCAAGTACTTCCCGCAATATCCACAACGTGATTACTCTCGCGGGCACATTCCCTCGCCCACCAACCAGCGCCCGAGACCTGATGTACCTGCTCAAGCCGCTCAAGGTAGCACTGTCAAAGCCCCCCAGCTCCCAAGCTCCAGACCTTATCCGTCACCCCTGTTTCACATCCCGACACTCGATGCGATGCGTACGCATCCCTTGCAGCCCATCACTCGTCAGCCTAGGGGGAGCTTGAGCCACCCATCCCATATCTGCCTTCCTGTCCTTAGGAACTGACTCGCTCACTAAAAGCTAGGATGAAGCGGCATGCACACAACTTGGCTTCGAAAGCGCTCGTGGAAGAAGATACGGCAATGCCCTCATCGAGACAGCTGGGCTTGATGTTCTGCATGCTAAGAAACCCCCGGCTAGTTCCAGTGGGCGTTTCAGCCTTCCAGCCATCCCTTGGCCTCCTTCACCCTATAATTCCATCAACCCCGAACTAATGAGGGGCTAACAGCTTCTGGCGCTGGGGAGAGCGCCGGGCCGTGAGCTGCTCACCTAGCCGTTTCAACCTCCGTCAGGGGCAGATCTATGGTAAGAGGCAAGGCTAGGTCAAACATGTTGCACCCAGGAGCATCCCACATTCCTATTCTTTCATTATCCACATCCTGAAACGTCTTCTCTGTCTCCCAGGTTAGGCTTTAATTTACCTCTATCACGCTGAAATGGGACATAACCTGGTGGAAGTGGAGAAGTGTCAGCTTCGAAAGACATGGTGCTTGTTTAATAGCCGTGGACTAAACGATGGCGATGCCTTGCTACAAGAGTAGATCCAAAGATATAAAACCGTCTATATTCTGAGTATATTTCGTCCTACCATCTCTTTCATATAGAAGAAAAAAGAAAATAAAAAAAATAAAAGGGCAATATGCAAGTAGGGACATATACCTAGCCATAGCTTCCCGCGACCATCATCATAACCATGAGAAACACATACCCGCCATTCGTTACCCTTATAAATACCATCGCCAAAAGCCTTGGTGTCGGCTCAAGGAGTCCATTTGCGATGCAGTGAATAATAATATAGAAGAAGAAGAAGAAGAAAAACCTGCCCTGCCCTTCCTCGAAACATCGGAATGAAGAATTAGCCTGTTGCCAGGCAAGTGTCGGGAAGAAAAAGAAAGAGAAGAGAAGCAAAGGAAGAACCGTGGGTAGGGGAACCGACTCCCAAAACCCGGACGCCAACGCATCATGATGGACTAAATATATGTCACCAAGGCTCATAGATAATATAGCCACGTTGCCAAATCATGGCTTGTTCCACCGTTCCTAAGAACGACCCCGGGCCTGATTAGTTAATTATTTAGGATGCTTCTTGAAGGCAAGAAGATCTGCCAAGCTGGCCAACGGACAACCGTGCTTCAGGAAATCATGGTTCAACAATTCGTGAGCGGATGCTCGGCTCTTAATGTCCACGCACAAGCAGACAGAGAGGAAAGCCTTAAGCTCCTTGCTTAGCTTTTCCGGCTTCTTAAGGCGTGGTGTTCCGTTGGTGGCAATGAGGTAGAGAGCCTTGAGGGGCTCCTCGTTCAAGTATGGAGGCTCGGACTCAATCATCTCGATAGCCATAATTCCGAGGGACCAGATATCGACCTTAGGCCCATACTCCTTCTGCTTCACAACCTCGGGGGCCATCCAGTACGGCGTGCCCACCATCGTGGCACGTTTTGATTTCGCTTCTGTGAGCTTTGCGCAGAAACCAAAATCGGCTAGTTCGCGGTTAGCAAGTGCATTTCCAGGCAGCGTTGACTCGTGTAAACTTACTAATCTTAACGTTTCCACGAGCATCAAGTAGGACATTGTCGCTCTTGATATCACGGTGGATAATGTTCTGAGAGTGGAGATGCTGTAGACCCTGGCATGTCTAGAGTCGAATGTGTTAGCATTAAGACGGAATAAAACGTGTTCAAATTCAAGAGTTTTCTCAGTACCTCGTGGCAAATTGTAGAGATCTGGTCCTCAGTGATGGACTGGTTATTGTTGTCAATCACATCGGTGAGAGCACCACCTTCCATAAACTCCATGACAACCCAAAGTTCGGAATTGTTGCTGCGTAGGAATGCGTCAAGGAAGTTGACGATATTCTTGTGTCGGCTGTCCTTCATAACCATGATTTCGTTCACAATCAGTTCTTTTCGGGGTTGATGTGCGAGGTCCATCTGCTTGATGGCGACCTGAGCCCTGCTACCATGCTGGCGAAGGATTTCTCGAGCTGTACCCTGGGCAGTCTCCTTGATCTTTGCCACATAGACAGATCCTGAAGCGCCCTGTCCAATCTTCTTCTGCTTAGAGTATGACAAGTTGGGGTCGTCTTTAGAGACAACCTCTTTCAACTTGGCCATAACCTCACTCTCGGACATCGTAGACATGCGAACATCCTGCTTCCTCTCACTTGGGGGAGGCTTGGCGGTGAGGGCCGCTTCGGCAGCCTTGACGCCCTCTGCAGGATGCTGCTGGTGGTGATGTTGCTTGGGTTGCTGCTGCTTAGGTGCCACGTTAAGGGGCTTGGGGGCAGCGGGTAAACGGGTAGCCTGGGCAGGCGATTGTGGCTGTTGGTGTGTCTTGTATTGCGGTCCTCCATTTGGATGGCGGGCCGTGCTTGGTGATGCTGTGGGAGGCGTGTCGGTTCGCTGTAAGCGTGGTGCTGGCTCGCGTCCTTGAGTTTGCACCTGCAGACGAGGTTGAGCATTGTTTGCTGATGAGGGTGGCGCCGGAGCCTGCCGTTGGGCGCGGAGAGGGCTGGGCTGCTGGTTGTTGGCCTTTGGTGCTGCTGGGGCGGCCCTAGCAGGGTTAAATCGATCTGGTTGGGATGAAGAACCCGATCCTACCGAGTAGCCTCCGCCTCCGCCAATCTCTTGCTTTGCCATTGGCACCTTCGTCTTAGGAAGAGAGGCATTGTATGCTTCGAGTTCCCGACGTTCCCTCTCCTCGGCCTCCCTAAGCTTCTGAGCCTCGAGCTGCTTCTTACGCTGCTCCTCACGAAGAGCATCCTGTGAAGAGTAGGCAGGTTGCGCGTTTTGGCGCTGCTGGTATGGATCTTGTTGCTGTCGCCACTGAGAATTGGCTGACGAGGAGGAGGAGGATGGTGCAGGGTTGTATGCCGGGCGCTGGGAACTAGGCGGGGGAGCAGGTCGTGGAGGTGCCACCGAACTTCCTCCATAGCCGTACTGCTTGTTGGCGGTCGGCGTCAAGCTGGGGTACTGGTTGGGGTTGTCCTTCTTGGTAAGGTGGTCAGTATAGAAGTCAAGGACTTCGAACACGGCCTGCGGGTTCCGCTCGTAATCCTCCTTGGTAATAGCGGAGGAGTTCAGAAGTCGCGACCACTCGGGGGGTAAACCAGTAAACTCTCCCGTGGACGCATCAAAGCCAACGTGAACAGCATGAGAGAAGTTGGTCGGAACGCCCACTCCACCCATACCAGGGCAGGCACCATAAATGAAGTCGATCCATTCATATAAATCATCGTCTCCTTTCACCTTGATTTGCAGGGTCTTGGTTGTGCCATCGTCGTCGCCGGGGCTGTTGGAGGCACCGTCAGGCTTTCGCTTAATCTCGAAGATGGTGCCAGCAGACTCGACACGGCCCACGTTGACAACATCTTTTAAATATAAAGTGTATGATACTTTGCCACCCTCTGCTTTGTGGAAATCCAGTGATTCTTTGCGCAGGATCAGGTACTTTTGCTTCCAGGGTTGGATGAAGTTCCTGCTTTCTTTGACATGCGCCCAACCTTCCTTCTTAATGGCTACCCCGCCCATGCCATCAGTATTGTTAGACTGTTGGCGGGCGATTGGGAGTGAAACAGTGGAACCGGAATATGTCGATGTCACTGTGCTTCGAATTGGTGAAATAGCCATGTTGGACATGCTTCCGGGCAAGTTTGCGTTGGGAGTAAGGGCAAGACGTGGTCGGTCGGTAGGAGGTCGCGGCGCCGGGCCGGGATTCATGAACTGGCCGGACGAATATATGCTGAAGCCTTTTGTCAGTCACAGTCCAAAGCATGCCAAAGGTTGCCTGATCAAGAATGCATTTCAATGGTAAGACATTGCCCGTCCAATATGCGTCCAAGTCGAGAGACCCAACGCAAAAGCCCAAGACCCCATGCAGATTGTGGAGATTGATCAGGTGCTACCAGGTGGCAATACTGCGTGGCTCTCGACAACTCGGATGGCTCTTGAGAGGCCATTATTGCAGCAATCGTAAGCAGTGTCTGAGCCCCCTCCTCTCATGTGTGGGTGGGCGTGCGTGAGACTTGGAGCGACCTTGTTGATCCATTCAGAAACAGGCATTTCAGAGTTGTCAACGTACCTTTCTTGTTGTGACATTTTGGCGAGAATAAATCAAGCTGGTTTTTGTGTATTTTGCTAAAAAGATATAAAATGGTTCGAGTGCGCCTACATATGCTGCTCAATAGGAACGCTTGACGAGACGCTGAAGTGTGCGAGGAGATGGCTGGAGAAGAGCAGGGGGCGAGCGGCTAAGTCGAAACGAGGGCCGAAAGACGCAGTTGCGACAAGGGTTATAGCTAGCCGGGACCGCCCTACAAAACGACAGACACTTCCTCAAGCTCAACAGGAGGAGGTCATAGGTGAGGCGGTGGTATTCGCTAGGACTTGGTCTCCCAACTTCGCTCGGTCGTAGGTGAGGGGGGGTTTTGTTCAGTCGGGCGACTAGGGGGGGCAGGCGGCTGTTGGTACTGGTATTGCTTATGTGGGCGCAGGGAGTCGGCGGTCACTGCAGGAAGTCGCGCGAACAGGTGGGCTGCGGAGGCAGAGACTGTGGCGGGCAGACCACGAATAAACGAGTCCAGCCTCGTTATTATACAAAGAACGCTGTTAGGCTTGAGGAAGAAGCCAGGCAATGCAAGCTGAGAGGGGAGGAAGGGGATGTATGTAGAACAATGGAACGAGCCAGGAGAAGCCAACTGAGGACGGGGACAGGTACATAGGCACCTGCACCTTCAGGCGTAGACAGGGTGTGGGGAAGGAGGCGCGCCAGTGTGGGTGTTGAGTGGTGACTCTCTCCTGAGGCCTGGGGCGGGCCCGGCGCATCAGGTAGGGAGCACGCTAGGGGATCGTTTACTGGAACCTCCGCCGCCAGTCAACCTCACCCAGTCAGCCCAGACTCCTACTTTATTAGGAGCTACCGCTCGACCATGGATATTAGTAGGAGGGTGGTTGCGATGTCAAGGCGTCGGGAGCCACGAGGAGGTGGTGGTTGCACACGCTCTCGGAGCCGCCAATTGGTCTCCAGCTTCGGTTGCATTTTCGCTGATAGGCTCTTCCCCTGGCTGCATTTGGGGAGCCTGGCCGCCTGCACAGGACGAGTGATTACCTTGCCTGGTACCTACCGTATCTACCTGCTGCACCCTACACATGGTCGTACTCTGTATGGAGGTTATTCGAATTTTCCAATCATTGACCCTGATCATCTACCGTGCTGGCCGGCGACCAATTAGTGCGACGGGTGTCACAGGCCATCTACTGCCGTCGACGCCAAATGCCAGTGCCTAAATATAGAGTCTGGCCAACCCGACAGCTGGGAGACGACGGGTACCTACCTGCTGCCCAAGATTGTACGATCAACCAGCCTGTGTCGAGTCATGGAGCCAGATATATCTTCGGAATGCCGTACCGCCAAGGAGATGGGTACATGGTACTTACTCAGCCCCAGGACCTTGCTGGTGTGTGTCTGCATTGATGCGCCTTGCTGCTCACTTTACGCTGCATGATTGAAAAACTCCACGTCTGGGACCGACATAAGAAGAGCTCGGTCAGCAATAGGACAACCGCCCCATCCATTCCCACAGTGCCTATAATTATTATTGCTTACCTATTTAGTAGCTGTTATAGGGTTGCGCTGGTTGCCCACTGTACGGCTACTGTGACTCTAGATAAGTTGGCTGCTCCACCGGCGCTCCGTCCCATGCTGACCACAAAAGGGACCTTGGGAACTTCTGAGGTAAGGTGCCTGGGCAGATGTCGGCCGATCATTTGCTGTTGGGCACCACTGTCTTCAGCACCGTATCATTGTTCCGAGCAGCACAGGGGTGAATTCAGCCTGCCCGTAAGCATGTTCGGTGGAACTCACCGAGACCTCTTCATGCTGTGTATCAGTAAATCACGTTTCGTATTGCCTTGCTCTGCAAAGCAAGACGTCAGTGCCCGCTACCAGCGTTGCATGCACTGGCGTCGATGGAATCTCACTTGTCCCTGATGGCTTTGCAGATCCGGAGGGTGCACCCCTGAGGCTAGCGTTTAGGATTCACCACCATGTTGGTATAAGCGCCCGGCACTGGGAGGAGCAGCCCAAATACATAATTCTATGCTGACATGGACCATGCCTTGCCTTAGCAGGCAAGATATCACGGGATAGGCTCATCAGCCACACTATACGCCATTCCGGCTCCGAAGCTCCCAGCATGCAGTCAGCTTTGGTACGAAAGAGAACGCCCATCGATAGAAGAGGAAATCCTCCAGCCGAGAATGTAATGATCCTTCGTAAAAGACGGACCCGAACAGGAGTGATGAATAAAATAGGATACCCATTCCATACCGATGGGTCGGGCCTAACCTCACCAACCCGTTATGACTTCATATCACCAAAATAGCCCGCTAAGACCATGATCAAAAGTTGAAACAGTGAACAAGTTAAATTTCTAGGTACCCTAAGATATCTAAATTAAACCTGTCCGATGACCGTTGCCAATCACATCTTTCTAATCGGATCCCGATATGGTCCTCCAGAAAATGCTGGAGGTAATGCAAAACAGGCGCCCAAAATAATATAACATGTCACATCATCATCATCATCATGCCAGTCTCCTCCTAACAACAGCACGTCATAAAGAATTCCCCAACGATCAATGCGTCCCGTTGGTCATAGGCGGCTCTCCTCCCTCGTTCGTTGTGCCTCCGCTAGCTTCCTGTGTGGTTGGTTCGCTTGAGAGGTTTCCCTCGCAGCCCTCAGTTGGGCAGCTACTGTCCACAACTGAGCTGGTCCACGTCTCGCACGTGTCGCATTGCACGATGGTGTCGGGGATAGCAGGATTAGGCTCTGGTGAGTCCGGCATGGTGGTTGGATTTCCGAAGTTTGGTTGTTCAAAGGAAGAATCGGTGGGTGGTAGATATGTCCCTGTGCTGCTTCGTAGCTGACGGGTTCCGACTTCTATAAATTCGTTTTGGGTTTGTTTGAAGACGCTTGGTATGGGTTTGTTCGTTGACAGCAAAGGGAACCCGTTGTTGAAGTGTGCTCTTTGGATATATTTATACCATGAGCTGGTGAGTGAGTACAATGACTGTTTGTCTTCATCGTGGTTTGTTGCAACCTATTCGCATCACTTTTCGCATCACTTATATCCGACTCATCACAAAGCGGTTGCACATGTATGTTGCATTGTGGCACTTAATGCCGTGATGCACCGACAATCTGCATTTCGTTGCTCTATCATAATCATAGCTAAACATAACATTTTTTCTCGCTTCACCTCTCTGCAACCTCAATCTCCTGGCCCTCGAACTTTGGAAGCTCAGCCTCAATATCAACCCACGTCTTGCTGCCATCCGCCAATGACTTGATGGCATCCACGATCTTGTCTTCCTCGGCACGGACCTGCCTCGTCGAGTCACGGTCACGGAGCGTGAGGGTCTGATCCTGGAGGGTCTGGAAATCAACTGTGATACCAAAAGGAGTGCCGAGCTCGTCGTTACGGCTGTAACGCTTGCCAATACTGGCGGATGAGTCATCTACACGACTGGAAATTCCGAGACCGCGTAGACGCTGTGACAGCTTCTTCAAGTTGGGCTTGAACTGGACGTTGGAAGACAGAGGCACGATCAGCACCTTTGTGGGCGCGACAATGGGAGGAAAGGATAAGACCTGCGGGGGGGAGTTAGTGATTCACGATTCACCAAGAGGGCGGGGATTTTTGTAGCAAAATTAGAGACTTACACCACGTGCTTCATCGCCACCATCGCTAGCTCGGGTCCAGAAGTTATGTTCAAGGAGAGCATAGAGAGTTCGGCCAATACCGAATGAGGGTTCGATAACATTAGGAGTGAATTCCCGAACGTTCTCGGTGCGCTTACGGAACTCAATCTTGATTGAGTCCTTAGTAATTTCGACTTGGCCATTGCCGACACCAGCGACGTCCAAGGTAATCTTGCCGTTATCGCTGAGCTCCTTGGCAAGCTTCTCTCTTTGCTCCTGGGTGGTGGCCTCCAGTGCGCCCTCTACAGTCCTGGCGTCCTTCTTGAAAAGGGGACCAAACTTCTTCTTCTCAACATCAATCTGCCACTCCTCGATGACGAGAGGCACTTCACGTTGCTGGCGAACGAGGAGGGGGGCACCCGTCTTCTTGGCATGGACGCTCAGGTCGTAAGCGCTACGGTCTGCACAACCAACGCATTCAACCCAGCCAGAGGAGGTCAAAAGCTCGCAGTCCCAGCAGTCAGCAGCGTAGTGGGCCATCTCGTTAGCCATGTGCTGGCGGAAGCGCATCTTGCTCACATCGACACCGATCTTGATCATAAACAGGTGGATTCGGGCGATGAAGTAACCGAGTGTTTCGTTGTCAACGAGCTTAGTCTTGACGGCTTCACCAATCTTGATGCTCTTGGTAGCAGTCTTGCCAGAGAGCTGAGTGTCGCGATCCAGCAGGACAAGCTCAATGTCCTCAACCTCAGTGAATCGAGGGTGCTTCTTGCCACCTTCAGGATCAACGAAATGCTCAATCTCAGCCATCAAGAACTCTCGCACTCGCAACAGACCGGCACGAGGCGAGATTTCATTTCGGTAGGACTTGCCAATGGAGGCAGAGGCGAAGGGCATGCCGGACTGGTTGAACTCGAGGAGCTTGGCAAAGTTGAGGAACTGACCCTGAGCAGTCTCGGGTCGCAGGTAACCAGCGAGGTTGCTGCTGGGGCCAATTGAGGTCTGGAACATGAGGTTGAACGCCACGGGGTCGCTTGGAAGCACGCCTGTCTCGGGGTTCTTCAGCTCGTATTTCTTGATCAATTGACCAAGCTCGGGGCCGTCGTAGTTGTCGATCTTGGCCAGAACCTCCTCGTACTCCGTCACCACAGCATCGTCGAGCTTCACAGCCTCAGACTTGGCCTTCTTCTTCTTCTTCTTTGGGTCGGCCTCCTTCTCCACAATCGCCTGGCCACGTGCCTCCTTGTCACCTCGCAGTCTAGCCTCAAGAACGGCCTCGACGAAATGGTCGGCTCGCATAATCTCGCCGTTCTTGGGATCCTTGCACATCCAGTCGGCGAACTTGTCGACGTGGCCGCTGGTCTTGAGAACCTCGTGGGGGGTCAGGACGGTGCAGTCGACCTCGAGCATGTCTTCCTCCAAGATGAAGTGCTTGCGCCACTGGTCGATGATGTTGGCCTGGAGTGCGCAGCCGGGGGGGCCATAGTCGTAGAGACCGGCGACACCGCCGTAGATCTCGAAGGAGGGGGTGTAGAACAAGCGCCGCTTCAGCATGGCCTCGAGGAGGACCTTGTCCAGGGGCTGGCCCTTGAGGGTGGTTGCGCTGGGAGCCATCTTGTTCTGGGGGTTTGCCTTTTTGGAAACCGGGACTATGTATCTGTACGCGTGTGAAGAGGTGCTAAAGGAGCAAGCCTTCCGAGGGAAGCTGGTTGGTGCTCTAGGCCCTGTAGCAATATGAATCGAAGGTGTTGTGTACGATCTAAAGACAGGTCTGGTGCAGACGGGGAGTCTTGAAGTATGGATGACTCGAATTGACTTCATCCACTCGATATCAACATGTGCGAGGACGAGCGCGTGAGTCAGAAAACTCAAGTCGCACTGGTTCCTCTGATGGTGGGGGAGGGGTAAGTGGGAGAAGGGCACAGAAGCAGCTGCCAATAAGAGCAGCGCGATGGCTTGGAGACCCTACTCGCAGAAGGAGGGTCTATCTTTTTAGCGTACTATCTGCGCCTGTGACAGTGGTCACAGCACCTTACCGTCCAGGCTTCTGGCGCAAGCTCCTCTCTTCCAGAACAGCTGTATAACTGTGCTAATATTAGCGGGTTCCAATGCGTCAAGTGCTATCCTAGTGACGGAATGAAATTATGTCGATGGGCGAGTTCACGTTATCACTTTTCGAGTGTCCATCAATGATGTTTTTTCATTCCCTCGCAGACGAATTATTCCTTTTTTTTGGCCTGCCAGGAACAACTTTAACGCCGCACCCCGGCGGCTTGGTCTCGTCCTATCCTCACCTAACCTCCGAGCTACCCTGTAGCAGCGACATCGGGATGACACTCTCAATTCATCAGACACCTTATCAGCCTGTCTTAGTTATTAAAATGACCCTAATTTGGGATGTTCCCTCGAGTTTATTTTCGTTTAAGATTACCTATTGTTGATTCGGAGTTTATGTATTGTTGCTCCCATCGTTTATTTCGGCAGAGACACTGTGTTGGGTCTGTCCAAGCTTCTGAACATATTGGTTGAAGAAATTGTATCAGACCATCAGCTTACCCAGCAGGATAATAGCGCTGACAAGAGACGTAAAGATTTCAAACCGGCGAGAATTCAGCCAGATGAGAATAAATAGCAGAAAAATCCACTGCTCGCTACATGATACTCATTGATGTTGCTAAAGCACAACCAGAACAGACGTCGGTAACTGTTGACGACCCTCTTTGAGTTTTTCTACCCCCAAGCTATATCCCTTTCCTTCATCCTTTCCTTCCTATTATGCTAAACCTGCACCTTACTTTTATCATCCGTCATGCCGCACTGCCATTGACTTTATCAAAGGGCTTGGGAGTTGGTGGCCGACTTTCGCTTCTGTAAAACACAATGTGGGAACGGTTGGCGACATAGTCGCTATCCGCATATCCCAGAATTTTCTCAATCTCCACGCTCTGGTGACCCATGACCTGAGTGATCTCAGCCGCGGCGTAGTTCACAAGCGCTCGGCCGACCTCTTCAGCGTAGTCACCACGCAGTCTGCCGTCTGGCCCGGGCTCTCGTAGCCTGTTGACAACAACGAGCCGCACGGCATCATGCTGGGCAAAGTTCCCTTCAACGTCAACGATACCCACCGGGAGCAGCCCGGCCTTGCCAAGCAGTGCTCGGTGCGCCCCTTGGTCGATGTAAATCGTCCCGTGAGGATTGACCGTGTGAAGGAGCCAGAAGTAACGGTCCCGAATAGGATCACTGGAAGGAAGAAATCTTGTATGGAGGGGCGGGACATCTGGATTTACAACCTGAGATTGGGCCATCAAATTCAACGAAGTTGAAGACGACACAATCGACAGGGCGCTGGGATCGTCAGGGGTGCTTGGGCCAGACGAGGTTTGGAGGTAATTGACAATGTTTAGGATATTGCCGGGGTTCGAGGATCGTGTAATGATAACTGTAACCCCTGCAGACGTTCCAAGCCTAGCAGCGATGATTTTTGTGCTCATTCCACCAGTTCCAAGCGAGGAGCCGGCGCTTGACACTGCACCAAGTATTAGCATAACAACAACATCATAATGAACAAACAATCGGCGGATAAGACTGACCGTCGGCTTGAATCTCCGAAATGTCTTCGACGACCTCAATTGGGCGAGCGTCAGGGTGCGTGCGCGGGTTCTTGTCATACAGACAATCCACGTCCGTCATGAGGAATAGTAAGTCGGCGTGAATCATGGCGGCAGTAATTGCCGACAGGGTGTCATTGTCGCCGAATTTGATTTCGGAAACAGCCAACGTATCATTCTCATTGACAATGGGAATCACCCCTTGGTCGAGCAATTCGTTGACTGTGTTTTGCGCGTTCAGGTACCTCGTCCTCTTTGGGAAAGCTCCCATTAGCCGAATGGTCTACCAACCAAAGCAACCACTTTTATGACGTGGGTGCGGTACTTGTTTGTAATTTTTATTTCTAACTTACGTCGGCAATGTCATTTTTCGTGAGGAGAATTTGAGCAATCGGCTGGGCCAGGTGCTGGAAGAGGCCATCCCAAAGGCTCATGAGTCTGCACTGGCCAATTGCTGCGAGGGCCTGGTTTGGAGGGGTTTCTCGATTAGAGGATCATCCTTTTTACAATTGCAGTTAAGAGGGACTCACCTGTAATTTTGCAAGATGTTTGGGTTTTTTGTCAATATCCATTCTCCTCAGGCCAACGCCGATGGCGCCCGAGGAGACAATGATGACCCGATGGCCATGTTTCCGGAGCTTGACCGCCGTGTCCACGATCAAGGTCAGGATGGGTAGAAGGGGCTCATGAGTCTTTTCGTCGACAATTGAGCTTGTGCCTTTTACAGATACTGTGTCAGTTTTCTGCTCCCATCCAAGTTTTGGGAAGGCGAGAATCGGAGAGGGCAACCTTACCAAGCTTTATGACAACGGTCAAAACCTTTGACTTTTTCATGCCTGTCAGATTTGATCGAGAGTCAGCCAAATGAGGAATTGAATGGATTTAAAAGCGAGAATGAAATGAATGAGAGTAAGAAAAAATGCTACTCCGGCCACAGGCCATTTTAAAGCCTGTTTTCACGCCTTGCCATTGACGCAAGACGAAGGAGCATTGGAGGGTTACGGAACTCCACTGGTCCTCGAGGGAGCCAAAGAGCCGTTCGCAAAGGCACTTGGCATCCTCGGTAGTGGAACACTCGTATGTTCTGAAGTTTCATTCTAATGCTTGTGAATATGGGTTGGCTTACGATCATTTTCATACGCCATCTCTCGCCAATCATTGCCTGGAACTGTTCAGTCCAGGGGGGGTCGTGTAGATTTGGATGGATGGCAGCGAAAACATCCATGTGAGTAACACCGTCGGCGCTGTGATCAAAACCCATCTTGGGCAAGCTAACGGCTTAGACTGGGTCGGTACCTCTTAGGGGTGACAGAAAAATGAAGCGCTAAAGATCTAGTCCTTCTATAACTCTGGAGCTATGACGAGTATTTTTGATTGTTTCAAATGATTAATGAACAGATTTCGAGCTACTACACTCTCTATAATTGAATCATGTCACTTTTATTTTTATACCGTCTGGGTTGAGGTATAACTGTGCGCTAATTATCATTGCACATCAATTCAGTGTCTCAACTTTTCTGTCACAATATCGAGGGTCGCCTGTAGGTACATGCTGCTAGAAGCCGTGCCGCCGGTTTCGCGGCGTCCAACACCGACCTCGGGCCCACAATTTGGGCGGTATTACCTCCCCGTTCACTGGATACGAACTCACCGCCCTGCCTCTCACTGGCCGGCAGAATTTGTTCAGTGCTTCAGCAGGGCCTGTACGAAAAAGGAACTAGTCGCGATCGCATAGCCTTCGATATTGGCCCAAAGGCAATTCGCATCTGACAATCCGAAAGGGAGATGAGAAAGTAACGGACCATTTCCTCCCTCCCAACCCAGCCTGTGATGGATCAATCAAAGGAAGCAACCTCGGCTCCCGCCGCCCCGACCCCCGTCGTGTCCGATGGACCCAAGAAAGAGCTCTTCAACGACCCAGCGCGGACGGGCTTCGACCCGGAGATGAAGTGGTGGATGAACTACTTCCGCATCCTGTCCGGCGGCATGACCAACGAGGGCAAGTTCCACTATCGCGAGTGGCGCTACAAGGTCCACGAGGAGAGAGACTGCAAGCGCTGCGAGGACAACCGCAACTGGCTCTTCACCCACTCCCCCGTCGTCCGGTTCCTGTCCGAGAAGATTGGCGACCTCAACGGCGACCTGAATAAGGACAACGTCATGTGCCGGCGGTGCCCTGCCCGCCTCACCGAGGACGGCCAGGTCCACAGGCAGTCTGGCGGCTTCAGCCCGGACCACGGCATCCTTCTCTGCGCCAACGAGATCAGGGACAGGAAGCACATGGAGGACACGCTGGCGCATGAGATGGTGCACGCGTGGGACCATTTGAGATGGAAGGTGGACTGGATGGGCGATAAAGATCTCAAGCATGCCGCCTGCACCGAGGTATGCAACGGCCTACTTTGGTCGCATGTGAATGGAAAGAGCCCCATGCTAACTGAAAGCTTTATCCACAGATTCGTGCTTCAATGCTGAGCGGCGAGTGCCGCTGGACTCGAGAAACCTTCACACGGGGTCAATGGAACCTGACGCAGCAGTTTCAACATTGCGTTCGGCGGAGAGCCATCCAATCCGTCATGGCTCGGCCTAGATGTAAAGACGAGGATCAAGCGACCAAGGTGGTGAACCAAGTTTGGGAGTCGTGCTTCTCAGATACCAGGCCATTTGATGAAGTGTACAGATAAAACGGGAAGCGGAGGCAACAGGGCATGGCAGGCCTCGCACCACACTTGTACTATTATCCAAGCGAATCACCGTCTCAGCTTTTTGTGCCATGAAAATGAAAATTAACGATACCCATGTAATGTCAATGTCAAAAACATACTCTCTCTTCGTCTGTGTGTCTGTTTTCTTGTCGCCTGTATGAAAGAATTACAACAAAAGTTTGAACTCCATTATATGCACAATCCGTAACCCATCCCATGGTGTGATGAAAACCAACGCCGATTAAGCCAGCCAATAAATATTGGAAAAAAGGGAAAACAAAGACAATCAAGTCATTATGCTCATTAAACCGAGTCTATGTAGACTTCTCTCGGTTGTACACTCTCTCACCCTTGACGCAGTGCTTGAGAATCCAGGGATGCTGCTGTACCTGGTCGAGCGGGATTCGCTTGGCAGGGTCGAGCACGAGGAGCTGTCCAGAGTTAGTATGTGATTGATTGAAGCAAGTTAAAACTGTTGAGATAACTAACCTTCTTGATGAGATCGGCAGCCTCAGCACTGACAAAGGAAGGAATTGACATGTCAGCACGCGCAATCCTGCGCTGTGTCATAATAGGTGTGTCCTCGAAGGGAGCCTCGCCAACCAGGAATTCATATGTCAGGACACCCAAACTCCACAGGTCTACCTTCTCGTCATAGAAGTTCTCGCTGGTTCCGGGCTTGACCATCTCGGGGGGGAGGTAGTCAAGAGTTCCGCACATGGTCTTCCTTCTGTTATTAGGGGCATGGACACTCCAGCCAAAGTCCGAGATCTTGATCTCTCCGTGGATTCCCATGAGAATATTCTCGGGCTTGATGTCCCGATGGATAACGTGCTTTCTGTGGAGGTATCGCAGCGCAGACGCCATCTGGGCAATATACTGAGCCGACTTCCACTCGGGGAAGCGGCTCTCTCTACGGAGATGCTTGTACAGCTCGCCCTTGCCGGCGAACTCCAGGATGAGGAACACTCGCTTGCTATCGTGGAAGTGCCCATAGAGCTGGAGGATATTAGGGTGTCGCAGGTTGCTCTGAATCTCGATCTCTCGTCGCACCTGCTTCTCGACACCGCCACCCTGCTGCAGCTCGTTCTTGTGCATTACCTTGAGGGCGCAAATGAAGCCGCTAGTCCGCTCCTTTGCGAGATATACGCGCCCAAACTTGCCCTTGCCGAGGGGCCGGCCAATCTCGAACATGCCGAGGTGGAACTGCTTGGGGATGCTAGGCTGCTCAATCAACTGCGAGGCCCGTGAGTGCTCCTCGGCACTCTCTTCAGAGACCCGTGACGAGCTGCTGATGGGCAGGGGCTTTCGTTGAGGTGAGGGGGGAGGGTTGTTCGCTTTTCGCTGAGCGGCCTGGGAAGGTAATGTCACGGCTGCGACCGTGTTGCTGGTCTGGGACTGCAGCGCAACCTTGACGAGGTTGGCACGGCTGCTGCTGTGCGCCGAATGGGAGGATGTGGTAGAAGTCACAGTCTAAAGCCCAAGGTCAGCATGCGTTCTTGCTGGCCGTGTCCATCACCACCCGGAACTTCGCACCTTTGTTTTGGAGTAGGCCCTGGGGGCATCGCCAATCTCGTTCTCGTCATTGACGGACATGCGCTCGAAGCGCGACTCCAGTGTGCGACTAGCCATTGCTAGGATATAGAATGCCGGTGGCCTGCTAAGGTTAGGGAGAGAGAGAGCGCAACGAGAAGTTGATCTGTGTTGGCGGAGAGAGAGGGAACTTCATCACTGGAGCTTGTATTTAAGGGCAGGGAGTCTGTGTGTACATGTCGGACGACAAGCGGGCTGCCCCGGATACCAGCTGAAGCTCCACGTTGCCAGGGCAACAGCAGGGTATAGGTGGCATGCTAACCCCATTGAAGATCTAGATCCCGAACCCTTGTTTTAGCTCTTGCACAACGAACTGGAATACCTAATGAAAGTTTGCCGGCTAGCAATCTCAGATCAGATGCCCTAGTGTCTTAGAATTAATGCCATCGTCATTCCGACCGTCCGTGATCTGATGTGGGGTTGGCAGTTGAAGACCGTGTGCGGCTTCGGTGTGATCAGTAGTTCGGTGAGCCAAGGTCAGGGGCCTGAGTGATGTAACAGGCTTCAGCCTCATTGTAGCTCCCCTCCAACGAAACTTCAAGCTTACAACAGCTCGGCGTGGTTCCAGTGTTTGTGAGTTACAATAATCTGTCCGTTGGCTGTAAGCTCTATTCACGCACCGATTCGAAGCTTTTGGATTTTCAATCTCATCACGTTTGCTACCGTTTCAATCCTCGTGAATTCTGCTGTGCCCCTCCCCCTCCCTCCCCGCGATGGCTTCCAGCAGCGAACCATTGGGGCCACCTCCCCGTCCGGCCACAACCACGAACCACGTCACGTCGACAAGCGAGCCCTTCCCAGATCCCAAGGAGCTAGATGCGGCCACCAAGGTCCACACCCAGGGCGCCTTCCAGATCGAAGCCCGCAAGCTCCCGATCTCCAAGGCCGGCCCCATCGACGAGCTCAACGAGAAGCTCGGCATCCCCGTCCCCGAGATGATATTCGGCGACAACCTCATCAAGATCACCCACAAGCCGTCCAACTGGTCCATATCCTTCGACGCGTTCGGCGCCCTTAATCGAGTCGACAAGGAGGGTAAGAAACTCCTCAAGGTCTCGTACGCTAAGGACTGGGAGCGAACCCGCGAGGACACCACCATGAAGATCAAGAACATCGTCAAGCCCTACGACTGGAGCTATACCACCGACTACAGCGGCACCGAGAGCGAGGGCAGCAGCGGCCAGCGCCTAGCGCTAGGCATCGACCACTACATCCCCCTCGCGCTGCTCCAGCGGCGGGACCCCATGCTCTTCTTCGAGGAGGTCATCCTGTACGAGAGCGAGCTGGACGACAACGGCATCTCCATCTACAGCTGCAAGGTGCGCGTGCACGAGCGGCGCATGCTGCTGCTGTGCCGCCTGTTCATGCGGCTGGACGGCGTCGTCGTGCGCATCAACGACACGAGAGTCTACGTCGACTTTGATCAGAATTACGTGATTCGCGAGTATACCGCCAAGGAAGAGCTGTTCCAGTCTCTAAAGAGGGTATGTTGATTTTTGAACACTATCCCGAGAAAGGAGTTTTCTTCGCCAACAATTCTGACCCTTTTATAGAAGCTGGTTATGAGTGGTAGACTCCCAGACGATGTTACGATCGCCCTTCGCGACCCCAATATCTTGGACCCTCTGCTCACTGTTACGAAGCAAATGACAGACGCGGTCAAGTTTCGTGAGTAGCTGACTATTGTAGTTACCGTCAAGGCGAAATTGAGGCTTGGGATTGCTCTTTGGGTATGGTTCCGCGGCGTTTTGAGAATTTGCGCCGTCTTTTAGGATGATCTTCGCAAATCAAGATATTAAGGATGAAATGGAGACTCATCCATAACAATGGGCTTAAAAAATATACCTTCTCAGAAGTACAGTAGGGGACCGACAAGAAGGATGGGCTTAGCAAATATCTACGAATGAATGAACGGCTTCAAGACATGACTATTTTATTGATTTGTTCGAGACATGACTGCAAAGCCAACGAGAAACTTTGATAACGAACAAGACTCCAAAATGACGATGTGGACTATCCATCCTAACCCCAATGCGCGCCAATACTCCTGAACCTAACCGCCGCTTAACAAATAACGTTACGCCAAAACAGATTACCGAGTTATCGAGCTCCAGCAGGTGAAGATGACTGCGTAGCTTCCTCATATTCTAGTTCCCAGCGGTCTACCTCCTTGAATTTAGCCGCTGCTTGTTTTAGCTCCTCCGTTTTGTTCCCTTCCGGCGTATGTGTGCTGTCAGCCTCGAAGGTGTCGTCAGGAAGGGGCTGGAACCGGCTCTGCTCATCTCCTTCAGTGTCATCACCCTCACTCTCGTTTTCCTTATCTGATGATCTTCGCGAATAAGTGAGGCTGGGACGAGACTTGTCGGTCTTCTTCTCTGGTTGCTTAGAAGTTGAAGGTCCTCCCCGGGTAGTTTGGCGAGTAGAGCCACCACGAGTGGCGGACCTCGTCGCCTTTCTCCTCCGTGGGGCATCAACGTATGAAAGCTCATCCTCATCATGTCCAATTCCGGCTGTGTCAATCTCGTCATCGCTCGGCAGATCAACAGGGCTGTGGGCTCTTTGATGCCTCCTCTTAGGTAGCAAGTTCGCTAGGTCTGCTGTTGTGAGCTTAGGCGAGGATTGGCGTCTGGCTCGACCCCGAGACTTGACTGTCTTGGCCTCGAAGTTTGGTGAGTGTGTGAGGGAGGGAGGGGAGGAAACGTTGGACATGCTATCGTGGTCAAGGGGATCTGCTGCCGACGGCCGCCGGCGTCTCTTGGCGAGGCCGTGAATATCGGGCCACTCGAAGTCCTCGCCTTCAGAGCCACTGCTAGCAGGTGGTGCAGCATAATCCATTTGGTTGACAGGGGTGACTGGCCGGCCCAGCTCAGGTAGAGGTTGGTCGAAGGATGGAAGTGACGAGAGAGAGGACGAGTCGCTATCGGCATCTTCCTCTGGTTCAGGATCATCCGTACGCGATACCTTCTCTGGACGCGCGGTTTCTGCTGGGCCATCACTCTTCCTCTTTTTGGAGCTCCTTGTCGCAACTGGCTCAGGATCCAGCTCTTGTTCTTGCTCGGATTCGGGCTCTTGAGGAGCAGGTCGGGTTCGCCGTCTGTTGTTCAGAGGCGTAGATTCGGCCTCGGGGGCAAAGTCTTCTTCTTCTTCTTCCTCAGTGTCGGACCTATTGTCCCCTTGTGTGGTGAAAGTCGTGGACGTGACATCTGGCCGTGGTTTTCGGCCAGTGCCCAAAATACTTGGCTCGCGCGCGCGCCTTCTAAATGCGCTAATGTTGAAGGTTGAGCTTACGAGCGGTGTAGTACCTCCTCGACTGCTAGGGCGAATGGGAGGGTCGTTGCGTCCGACAATGCTGGATTGGCGCGACCTGGATCTCGGTTTGATGTGACTGAGAGTGAAAGACGAAACCTCGGTGGAGCGCCCTCGCACTGAGCCCTCGTCCTCGAAGCTGTCCTCCAAGTCTCCAAACACGTCATCTGCTAGATCGAGGCCCGTTATATCTCTTCGCTGGGCTGGCGTTGCTGCTGAGCTTCGTCGTCCGAGCTCCACCGAGCCCGCGGTATCATCGTCTCCGGTAGTGGTGATGTCCTCGTTCGCGAGACGATCTAGGGCGGTGTCGCGAGTCCGGTTGGCTGCATCAAGGATAGAATCCACATCTGCGCTTGTTCGCGACGCCATGGACCTGGTTGTGCGCGCTCGTCCTCGAGGCGCAGGTTCAACACCTGGTTGGGCTGCTTTCTTGGCTGTGGCGACAGCGCCAGGACGCGACCTCTTTGGCCGAGGCATTGCGTGCAGTCAGATAAAACCAATCGAAATAATTAAACAGAGAATTGGATAAGCTGCGATGGTCCTGGGGGAACTTGAGCAAGCGCCGTGGCGGCTTTTACCAATAATGAACAGGCAATGCGGGATGCCTCGCGAATTGGAGCTTGGATAATTGTGTGGTGGGAGGGTCAAGTACAGACAGAACGCGTCGCGCGTTTGTTGGTTTCGTCCCAGCTGTAGGCACTTAGCGCATATTTAGGCGGCAAACAGCCTGTAGCTGGAGTCTGGACTCTCGACAGCCCACTAAGAAAAAAAAACACCTCCAAAAAAGGACTAGCGCCAATTAACAAAGACACCCTGCATGTGCACCTTAAATCCACTGACATCACTAAGGTAGAATCCATGCCCGAGGACGAGCCTTGTTCGTCTGTCTCCATCCCGGATGGATTCATCTGATGTGGTCAAGATGCCCCGAGGGTGTAGCCAAGCCTCAGCCAAGCCCGGCGGTGTAAGCGGGGTCACACAACCAAAGTCTTTTGATGGAATAATAAATACCCTCACTCTTACCCATTCGTAGATTCACGCTTTCTGGCTCATTACTAGCCAAAAGACGGCTTTCTGGCCTGATGAACGAAAGCGTGAGATGACGGCGGATCTGTCAGGCGGCCGTATCAAGAGAACACTCAACCATGGAGCCCCATAATCTCCCACCAGCCTACGAAGACTCAGGCCACAACAATAGCAACCCGTCTCAAGACGCCCCGGCCGAACCGCCATCCTATGCATTGGCTGCCGATTCAGACCCGCGGGAGCAGCTCTTCGGCAGCGAACTCCCGTCGCTCGTCCTCAACGGTGTCCAGATCCATCCCGTCGGCCGCCCCGATCAGCCGCTGTATGAGCTCAGCACCCGGATCTCAGATGGCAACCGTGGGATATGCGGCGTGGAGAAGGTCATGTACCGCCTGACTGACCACTCGGGCGAGGGCAGCGTCCGCGCCCGGACCCGTCACATCTACGACGTCCGCCCGCAGGCCCTCAGCCTCCACGTGTTTGGCCACGTCGACGTCATGGGCAAGCTTGGGCCGAAGAGCACGTACAAGCACAGGGAGCTGGTGACGAGGCGGCCGAACTGGTCGGTGTGCGAGGTGAAAGATGCCCTCCAAGTGAAGGAAGGGTTCAGGATCAAGCTGCTCCAGAAGGAGAAGCCCGTTGAGTGGAAGGACAAGGAGGGACGTGTCGTTGCGTTGGAGACGAACCCGCCCAAACCCAAGGACAGCTCAATAGAGGTCCAGCCCCGTCTGGACATCCAGTCTGCTGCCCTGGATGCCAAGGACTTTGATTTTCTGGTAGCGTGCTGGATAGGCCGGCTTTGGAGGATTTACCAGATTCACAATGAGGAACCCTTCAGCTGGGATAAGTGTATGCCATCTCGTCCCCCTTTGGTCTGCGATCCCTTGGAATATTTTGCTAATTCTCTGCGGTGTAGTCAAACGAATAAGTGCCCAATCTCCGGTGAAAGGACCAGGAATTTATACATGAGCGAGCCTATAGCGTATCATTCTCTACCAGCATTGAAATATAGCACTTCGGATATAGCCTAGCCAAATCTATGAATCATCCTCCATTATATTCTTAATGTCATTGAATTTCCTCTATGTTTTGCCTAGCTTTAGAGAGGAGAAGTCTAGTTCAAATACTTCATGCCGCTCTTTCTTCTATACACATATCTATACAAAGCCTCATATCTTGATTTGCGAGATATTTTCCGTTTCCATACCCGCCCTTTGCGCCGGATCGTTACAAATAAGTCGAAGTATCATACATAATGGTTGTTGGTGGTACAGCTTGAGCATATTCACCGTGCTCACAGCTCGGCTAAAGTTTTCCCTTCGTCTGCCCCGATTAGATGAGCGCCTGACCCATGAACATGCTCCTCTTCACCTCAGCAACAACGTCCTTCCTGTCATCATTGCCGGCAAGGACTATGCCTCGGCCACGTCGGCCCATACGCCCAGCACGACCGAGACGGTGAATGAAATCAATGGTCGTATGGGGGACGTCATACAGAATGACGTGTCGGACGGCCAGGGTGTCAATACCTCTCGAAGCGAGATCCGTCACAACCAAGACCTTGACGTTGTTGAGCTGCCTGGAGCGGCCAACCTTCTCCGGGGCCTTGATTGTAAGAGGCTCAGCCATGGTGAAGACCTCGAGTATTTCTCCAGGGCGCTTCTCCGGTGTGTCACGGTGCAGAGCGGTGGCTTGGATACCCTGGCCACGGAGATATTCTCCCAGCTGCTCCGTCTTCTCACGTTCGTTGACAAAGACGAGAACACGACGAACATCAATCTCATCCTTGACAGGGCCCTCGTGGTTCTGAGCGTCCTTTCCGAGAGTGTAGAGAGCATCGGCGCAGGCCAGGTCCTTGTTGTTCCGGTATGGGTCTCTCGAGACATCGATCACACCGAGCTGCACACGTCTGGGAATGGCATGCAGATTCGGGGTTGTGATCCGGTGCATCTTGGGATAGGTCGTTGCCAGGTAATTGTTCAATTTTCGTGGGATGGTAGCAGAACAGCAAACAAACTTCTGCAGCGAGGGCATGGCACGCTCAATAATACTGGTAGTGACAGGAGAAAAGCTGCGGTCCAGGAGAGAGTCGGCCTCGTCCACAATAAGGTGAGTTACCCGTGACAGAATGTTGGGATCAGAGTCGGCGATGGAAGCAAGGAGGTGGGGTGTCGAAACGATAACGTCCAATCCCTTGGGGCCGTACAGATTGCGCTGGATCTGCTGCGGCCTGAGATCCGAGGAAAGCATCTCCGTCTTGAACTTGACAACGTGCGAGATCTTCTTGGATACATTCATTACTTGCTGCGCGAGCTCTGCGGTTGGTACTAAGATGACAACTTTGGGTCGAGCCATGGTAGGGTGGGGCTCATCAAAGGGCTTTCCCTTGAAATTCGCAGTCCTTTGGTATTCCTTTTCAGCCGCGTATCGCTCATTGTATGCCTTGATATCCGGATCCTCTGCTTCAGCTCGTTTCAGAGCGTCAATCGCAGGCAGCAGGTAGGCTAAGGTCTTCCCTGAACCAGTCTCGGCGGCAAGTAGAAACGATTCCATCTCCGCACTCTTCTTTTGTGGCTGGCCCGGTGCTGATTGGCCCATTATGGCCGGTAGAGCCAGTCTCTGCACAGGTGTCGGCTTGATGTCGAAAAGACCTTTGAATAGCTCATTGTAGAGAGATTCCTTGATATTGGGGAGAAGGTCGAAATGATCGAACGAATCGTAGTCTCCCATGCGGTCCTTGAGAGACATTCTCTTGGTGTAGGACACCGATGCGAGGGCGCGCTGCATCTTGAGTGCCTTGCGCTCATCTCTCGGTCCGTCGTTCTTCTTCCCCCCGTCTGTTGAGCCGGCCGTTCGAGATCGTGGGCCTCGGCGGGTCGGGTCGATGTTGGCGACGGTTCTGTTCATTGCTCCAAAGGGACCTTCGACTTGTCGCCTCGGCCTGGAGCTCTTGCCTCCGGTAGGCGGTCGATAGACTTGATTCGAAAGAACCATGCGCGACGGACGAGGCTTCGACGGCTGCCTCAAAGACACGAACCGTTCACTAATCCAAGGTTGAGAAATTCGCGGCGGTAGCGGCCGCTGTCTTATGGTGGTAAGACATGAGGAGCAAACGGTCTGCGACGGTAAGCGCCGCATCATGAGTCCGTTTTAAGGGGTGTCGAGTTGGTTGTAAGAAGGTGGGCGTGTAGATGAACCAGCTCGTGTGTCTTGAACGGTTTTTTTTTATGGTTCTTCCCCAGATTTAATTGTAGTGGGGCTGAAACCTCGTACACGCATCACCACCACTTATAGCACTCTATTCCTCCCAAGGATTGTGGTAACTTGTCTCCTATGTTTTCTTCATCTCAAATCAAAATGCGTGCTTTGAATATTAAATGGCGTATTCAACGAGAACCCAATTTACTCTACCTCTGCATTATCCTTTGGCCTACAATCTTATTTTGCATCTACCACCAATCACGATACGGCCATGGAAAGGGAAGAGATCATACATTTGTAGGTCCTAACATGAATTGACGCATTTGTACATCCGGGGAGCGCCTGGTATACAAACGATATTTACAATGAACGGGCCGAGAGCCAAGAGAGCTCAAAAGAGACACCGCCAGCCGACTTACTTGCCCGCATACTTCCACCACAAAGACCCCAAAACCATGCTAAGGAGACCGAGGAACGACACCCTATGCATGTCCTTGAGCTCTCAGTCATTCACTAAATGGGAGTGTGTGGATTAAATTTATTTACTTACGCAAAATGATCCCTACTACAGATGGCAAATTGTAGGTATCGTCTCGTTGCCGTGCGTCTCTTGTTTTGGCTGGGGCGTGTCCCCAGGTTGGACTCGATCTCGACGTCCACATGACTCGGGATAATGCCATTGCTATTGGAGATCGACTGGCCCGGATGAATCTGCTTCTAGCTCAAAAGACCATCTGAGTCTACGGCTAGGCCCGGCTACATAGAATTGTCGATGTCGATAAATATTTCAGTCTTCAAAGCATAGGGAAACCACATGGACATGTGGCCTAGGTGTATTAATTACCTTTTTCTTCTGTTTCATAATCATCCCTTTATCGTCGTCGCTTGGGGGTGTCTGTGAGAGTTCGAACACCTCGCCAAAACTTCGCCTTGCGGTTCTGGGTTTTCCTGACTTCGAGCCTAAATTCGAAGTCTGTATCGGCTTGGAACCCTCTTCTGCGATCGAAGTCAAAGACGCAGTAGATCGTTTGTTCCCATAACTGCTGTGCGAGAGTCTACTTTCTCGTAGAGCAGACGACGCTGGGCTCTTGGGGGACAAGGAGCCGCTTATCGCAAAATCGTCGCCGTGTTCTATCGCGATTGGGGATGAAGTTTCGATGGAAATCGGCTGGCTGTCAACGCTGGATCGGATTTTGCGAAGGGCGTTCATGACAGAAGATCGATCCGAGGGGAATGATTCGATTGTTGGGTCATTAATATCTACTTCATCAAATGAGTAGTCCTTCGACTCCTTCCGTGGCCGATGTGGGCTTGGCGCATCATCGGCTTGATCATGATCAAGTGCATCATCCGCGAGGAACTCATAAGCCCCAAAGCTTTCGTGGGCGAAAAGAGGCATTCTTAGTGGCTCTTCTTTGGTCCATGTGTAGTCAGATGTCGTTTGTTCAGAATCCCTGTCCTGCCATACCGACCATCGTTAATGGTATCCAGCCTCAAGCGAAGCTAGCTGAGCACTTACTAGTCGTTCTGCCGTGTCTGCAACCTCCGCAGCGGTTTCGGCAACTATCCTGATAGGTGTAGAGGACCGATCATCCGCAATTGCCCCAGCTTGCCTCAGAGGCAGCCCTGGAGAATAATCCTTTTCTGGTCTCGACTGGGAAGACTTGGGAACGACTGTTACCCCGACAAGTGAGTTGGTAAGTGTTTCCATTGATGGAGGTTTGGATATTCAAGTTCATCAATATCATTCACGCACCGAGAGCTTGATTCTTATCATAAATCCACGGCCCTTGCTCCTTGTACTTGATGTTGTACTGGTACTCGTGGCCTGGAATCACGTTGACTGTCCTGGAGAACGTGTATTCTCCATCTTCATCTCGGCTGGCTTTCATCTCCTGGGGCTTCCAATTGGATTCAGGAAAGGAGCCGGCTAGAAATAGTGGTGGAACTGTCTTTGCCTGCTTGAAGGTTACGGTGTGTTGGGATTCGGATGATGCCATTTCGACGATGTGGGAAAATTGAATATGCAGTAAGCCCGCTATTAGGGATTATGTTAGATTTACAAGGCTGTGGTCTCTTGCGATGACACGTGGGATAATGTGGCGCTGCTGTTCTTGCCGGAGAGATAGAGCTGGCAAGTCCACGGCAGGCAAGCTTGATGGTCGGTGTGCTTTTGTGAGTACTTAGGCAGCGATGTACGCTGACTGGATATTGAGAGGGTTGCTCAAGATAGGAGGGCGGCTTGTCAGTCGTTTTGTCGTGCAGTCGGTAAGTAGATTGGAGTAGAGCGAGAGGGATAGCGGGAGGTGGTGTAGTAGATGGGATGGTTGTTCAAACAAGAATGGCCTGATATCTAGCAGGTATGGATGAAGCTGGCAAGGTATCCTGTCGTCGTATGCACACCCATGGAATTATTTATAAGAGATATGCAATACTCGAGATCGGGTATTCAATTGACAAACGATGACGAGAGGCACGAAGGCGAGGAGGGGTGGGGTCGAGTGAAGAATGCACTATGCTGCGCGACGTTAAAGGTGCATTGATGGATGTGATGGAGGGATGGTTACCACTAAGGTAGATCAGTCGTAGGAGATCGACAGTGCCAACAGCCTGCCCGTTGAACTTGACACCAGGAAACTGGGAAGAAGAGGAGAGGGGGAAAAGCACAAGTAATAAATGGTGATGCGATCGATGGTGGCGACCGGGATGGGGGTGGCACGCAAATGGGCACAGCTGAGAGCGATGACGATGGGAAGAGGTGTGGAGACGGGATCAAAGTTTGAGCTGGCGCTGAATCCCAGGTTTGGTTCACGACGGGATGCCAGGTACCGCCCAGGCCGGTGGGAGGATGGGCTCGAGCATATGCGTGTGCAATTGTGCCTGTTCAAAAACAACAGGCGGCGGACGGACCGCTGGATGAGGGGTGGTCTGATCTACTGTCATCTAGCAAGGGGCTTGGACTCCTCTGGCGTGTAAAGACCACCAGGCCAAGGCCATTAGGCTGCCTTGGAGGCATAGCCTACGGCGACGGCGCATGAATATGGTCCTACAGGCCTTGGAAATGGTGCATGCCTGCCTGGCAATGAGGCGGCTGGCAAGGCATGGAAGGCCATGGTCATGGCACAAATGGCACGGGCTCAGCCGGAATGCCTCCCCTCCGTCAACCCAGCCTAGACTGTCAGGCAATGCTTGTGGAGGGCTCCAGGGCTGCGAGGTCCATACACCGTTGAAACCAAAGAGGGGTGCTTCAATGCGGCCGTGGGATTGGCCTCAGTTGCCTTGGAGCAACCAAGCGGTATGCAGGTGCATCATGATTGTTGATCAGGTTCCATCATCTGTCTGTCCCACTATTGCTACGGTTATGGAGCGGAATCCACTTCCCCAGCTTCCATCTCAATTCTGGTAGGTAGGAGCGTCCATCAGCTGTACGAGTTGAACACCGTAGCTGAAAAGATAGACAGACCTTGGTCCGCCGGGCCGGTGCAGATTGGCGAAAGGCGAAACGAAGCTGGTGGCCAGTTGGACCAGGGGCATTGTTTTTACCGCAGAATGCTACTCCCGATGACTTGCAGGAGACATGCCGGTTTGCGCATGGCCATGACGAAGCGACTTTCAGGTACCGAAGGTGGATCGTTGCTTGATGCCTGCAGCCGTCTTAGTATTTATTGGGGCTTGCGCCTGGCATGACGGGTTGAATGGGTTCTGATTGTAGTTGATATCCAAATGCTGGCACCGCGGGTGACAGGCTCAAGACGGGCGGCCAAGCCTGCCTGATTTTTGGCACGTATCCAGCATGTATATCCATCCGGTACCTCAATATGGCCTCTGCTGTCGTGGTGGATGATGTACATCGGGCGGCTTAGGTAGTTTGATGTTCGGCGGGAAGCTGGCGGATGGCCCCACTATTGAAAAAGAGGCATCCACATTGATCAAGACAATTTTCTTATCTCAGCATCACAGCTTAATCATCCCCTCACCACTATTTTAAACAAGCCAGCATGCCAACCAACAGAGCAATCATCTCGACAACAACGTCCTAATTTATGACTTGCTTCTTACTTTCTATTAATATCTGGAATTCGAGACTCTAAACTGAGTCACCGAAGCTCCCAGCCATGTCGATCCCACCCCAACTCATCCGCGTCAAGCGAAAGCGGGATGAGGATGCCGCCCCTGTCACCTTCCTCCGTGCGTTTTGACAACACTACCACCTCCTGACTGCTCATCCCATTCTCGCCATCTAACCTGTATCCCTTTCAGAGTTCGAAGATGGCACCACCAAGCGGCATCGCACGGGAACCAATTGGGTCTACCAACGACGCGAGGTGACTGCTTCAGCTTCTGGTCTTGTCCCACGACCTCCTCAAGCTGTGATGCCGGTCATCCACGTCTCGAAACCACAGAATGAGTCTCCAAGTACCCCCGGAACGGGCTCATCCGAAAATACTGCGCCAAAGCCGAGGGTGATATCTTCGAGGCCTAGTCAGCAACGTTTGAAGCCCGAGCCTCGCCGGTTCCATCTCTCCCGTGCTGTTATGGCGGCAGCAAACAACAATACCGCAGGTCAAGGAATTTCCAAGAAGAGTCGATCCGGCCCCGCAGTGTTCGTCGAGAGGAGACAAAAGCAGATGGCCGAGAAGATCCGCCAGAAGCTCGGGGGAGCAAATGGTTCACAGGACGCATTGCGGGAGAGTAACGGCTCCGAGCGCGAGAAGGCCACAGATGCGAATGAGCCTGTTCGGCTCTACAAGAAGCCAAGAACCCCTCGAGCTAGATCTCCCCAGCCGGACACGCCAAGTCGGGCGCCCCTTCCAGATTCTTTTAGCAAGCCTCATGGCGTTAACATGGATCAGAGGACTGCTGATATGAATCAATGGGTCCTCAATGAGATTGGTGCAAATCTTCAGGAGATGGAGCGAGAGGGCCAGAAACAACAATCGCCAAAGCTCAAGTTTCGACCCAAGGCACCCGAAAAGCGCTTCGCGGAGCGCCACCCCGAGCAGACCGCAGGCTTGCAAGTGCCGAGCTCCTCAGATACACCCATGACCGATGCTAGTGGCGAGGATGGTATGGAAGAGGATGGAGACGATGGCGATTGGGTCATTGACGAATACGTGCGAATTCCTGCACATTCGATGGCAATGGACACTTCGCCTGCCGATGTGGGTGTTCTTGTCCTGGAAGGCGAAGAAGATGACTATCTATTCTTCGGGCCGGAGCGTGAAGACGACGACGACCTCATTGACGAAGATGAGGATGAAAATGGTTAGGCTTCCATCGTGTTCACAAACATTTTCTGTCTCCAGCTAACCTTCCTGTCTTACCAGCTGAAAACCACTACACTGCAGATTATCCAGAAGACGAAGTTGAGTCCGACGATGAGTTTGGTCGCAACCCTTACCATTATAGGAACATGAACGCTTCGGATGATGAGGAATTCGACAACGATCGCTACTCAGAGGCCAGTGATGACATGGTACTGGAGGGCGACGACGATGATCTGACAATGGCTCGCATCAAGAACTACATGCGACGAAAGCCCGACATGCCGATTAGGAGTCGACCTTGACCAGTCAGCCACGGTCTTCGGTCGCAATGCTAAAAACCTCAGCTCCCTCCCACTCCATGCAACTTAATCCTAAAAAGTAACCTAATACATAGACCGAGCAGGGAACGAGGAAAGTTTCATCCTTCAATACGGCAGCCTGCATAGTCTTCATCGTCACCTATGACAAAAGCAAGGCGGGGCCGGGTTCTATTGGCCGCGGATGCATAGCCTATGCTCCCACACAGCACTAGGAGAGAAAGGGTGGGGGGACGGCGAGGAAATGGAGGGTCGGGGAGCAAGGGATTGCTGTTTGATCAAACGCCCGAGATGTATGCACGGGGTATGCATTCATTTGCCTACCGCCACGCATGGGGCATCCAAACCCCACGTCTTTACAGGTAGCCGAGTGAAAATAAACATGGTTTCCATTGCTAAGCCCTCCGCCGCATGCAGATAAGCTCGGATGGTGCACTCCCTCGTCTCGAAGACGTGAAATTAGCGAGTCACTAATACCAACAATCAAATGCAAGGCGTCCAGACAATCCGGCCACCATTGGATTCTGCAACACTAACTTTCCAAAGGGGGCACATGGCTCGGGCTGCATGGCCATGACCACGACGAATTGCTAAAATTAAGCATCTGCGACCGTCGGAATGTTGGCGTTGGGTCTTTGCTATTGTCCCCGAGGGCAGCAAACGGCCTGTGCCGCTTCTTCAATAGCAATAACACGGCCAACCGAAACACATCGCAGACTATACCCCTCCTGCGGCTGAATCTTCAATGAGGCTGGAATGGGATCCGCAGATTAAAGAGGAGCCTTGGCACACTATTTTTCACTTCCGCTATGTCTCCCCCCATTCAGAAGCGAGCCAGCCTTCTTTGCTACCTTACCTAGTAGCTAGCGCAGGCATGTGCCAAGGAGATTTTCACCCCGACTCAATAGAACGGGATGGGGCAGCTCACAATGGCCCTTCGGTCAGCGTAGCCCACTTACCCGAGTTCCTATTGATACAAGGCAGAGCGAGTTTAGCCAACATGGGGTCCGCCATGTGTTGCAGGATGCCCACGCGAGGGGTGTTTGGTTGGTGAAAGTTCCGGTCACGAGGCGTCTTCCCCCCAATTTTCCTACCTGGGCATGTGTGTGTGTGTGTATCTGCAGATGTTGTGGCCGCCTACAGCATGGGGTGGGGTGTGGTTCATGTTATCCCCCGCGCGTGTAGTCAATACTCCGAGTCAGACACACGGGCAGTGATTGTTCGGGCCATTCTACACAACAAGGATCTACGCATTTAAGATTCCTGGGCAAGGTCGGCACGTGTGTTTCTGTCGTTCCATTTATGGTCGTGCGATTTTCATTATCAATGCCTAAATACTGCCTCGCCTAGTAGCGAGGCCAATGGTGCATACACGTTGGAGGCGTATTAGAGCCAACCAACTTCCAGAATGTATAACAAGATTACATCATGTCTGTGGGAAAAAGTTTAAATTATACAGAGAAAAGAAAAGAAAGGGAAAAGGAAAGAAGTGAATTCAAGAGAGAGAAAAAGAAAATAAAGAAAAATAAGAATAACCACGCCTGCTAGTCCATCACATAACCAATTCCTTGTCTTATTATTCTAGTTGTTGATGATCACATCTTGTGTGTCCGAATCCAATACTCCTTGGCGCTAAGCTTTTCCTGTGAATTGATGCATCGAAATTGAGATTGACAAGGTGAGACGGGGGGAAGCGGCCGAAACTACAGCCGCGCCCTTCGTGCCTCCTTCTTCTTTCGTCTCTCACGGCGCTCTCGGTACTGAAGCTCTCGCTTTGCCGCTGTGAAGAACACATTAGTATAATTATTACGCATATCAAAGAGTGGGTGGGGGGGCGTCGACTTACCCCAATCTCTGGCTTGCTGCTTAATTTCTGGATCGACCCAGTGATAGCCCATGAGCCGTTCTGGGTATCGTTGGGCAAGGCCCATGAGCTCAGGCACTCGCCTTCGGCCCTGGTCCCTTTCGCGGCATTTGATACTGACTTGTCGTGGCTCAAGCTCGTCCTCTCCGTCAAAAATGAGCCAACCATCACTGTCCCAGACCGGGATTTTTTGGTTCATCCTGTAGTACCATGCCTGCAGGCCTTGGACCGTTCGCCTCGGCTTTTTACCAAAAATCATAGCGTATTCTTGTTTGATGGCCTGCCACTTGAGCTTCTTGTCGTGCCATGCGTAGATGATGAAGTCTCCTTCCTCTGTTGAGTACTTCTTGTTGATGTGCCTTCCCTCGGGGTCTGTGGCTGGGTTTGGGTAGCCGTCGTAACCGTATGGCGGCGGAGGATAGTGATGAGGGGAGACAGAGTAATCGTGGGGGGTGTAGGGGCTAGTGCCTTGGTAGGAATAGTGCGAAGGCGTCGGCTGTTGGTCGTACAGACCGTGACTGATGCAGCGAGGTGTTGTTACTGGTGACCAAGAGGGAGCTGGTTCGAAGGATTGGCCCATGGCTTTGACTCCATCCAAGAACTCATTATAGCTGGGTAGTTTGATGGAAGAGGCGGGCGACGAAGCCGGGTACGCGAGGGGGGCAATTGAGGCATCATCATTCCGACTTGGCGGTCTTGATACGTCTGCAATTTGTCGTTAGATTCTTCTCTCATTGAAGAGGGTAAATATCACAAGACATACCATCAGTCTCGGTATGAGGGGATCGCCCGTGAGGAGTACGAATCTCTGATGATACGCTGCTGCAGACCGATTCAACATCACTATTGAATGAGCCCTCTCTAGAGGGCGGTGGGGTCGGGATGTCTGAAAGATGCTTCAGGCTCATCTTCCTCGACGGTGGATAAGAGAGTGTGTCGTGGATTGGCAGGGCTTGAGTTAAGCTCATGATTCAGGGCACTCAATGTCTCCCTGAGTGCTGGTCAGGCAATTCAAAGCACCTCCGCAATTGGAAATTATGTGTAGAGATGGTCAAGTGAAGCGGGTATTAAGACATAAGGGTCTGAGTCGACGAGGGAGGGAGAGGGGGGAGATATTAATATATAGAGAATGGATGTCGAGTGTGAATGGGGTAGGGGAATGGCAGCCACCAACGACTCTGCCAAGCAGGAGAAGGTGGGTGCCAGAGAACGTGTGGCCATTGGACGGCAAACATCTTTGCGGCACCAAGTCCAATTCGACCCAGTTCGTATAGTTCGAATTGTTTCTTGTTTTGAGCCTAGTACCTGAATCAACATGTATGGGCAAAAGAAAGGAGCTCTAGCTGGAAGGATGGGGTGTCTGTGTGTCCCTCTATCCAGTTTAGCGAAAAATGACAGACCATCCCCAATGGCTAGAGCATAAAACAAGAACTATACACGGAAAAGGGATCAATGCGTAGATTCGAGGAACAGGTACCTGCGGCGATCCAAGACAAGCTAGCAAGTTAGCCTCTGCGTTGCAGTCTCTGTGCGAGTGATTTTGCTTCTTCTCCGTCTGATCCAAAGCAGACGAACTGCCCGTGTTAAGATTGGCATATTTGTTCCTAAGACAGAAAGATGACGAGGCCGACCAATGCAGGTGATGCACTGCCTGGAAATTTGGGATGGCAGGATGGTCAACAACTAAAGAGGCGGCATTATGGATCAACCCAACCAACAGCACAAAATTGATCGAGCCGTCCATAATGCACATCCGGCAGCTGAACTCGAGGGGGGCAAACAGAGAACAATTGGACAATACTGTTATTGAAGACTCGCACGCACGGTCCTCTGATCGCCATACACCAGCCGGATCTGACCGAGCTTGAACCTTGGCATGATCATCCGAAAGAGAGCTCAGACTCAGAGAGAGCGCCACAGTTTGAAAATCTCGCTGAACAATCTCTACATGGGTGTCGGGATAGATCTAGTTGGACGGGATGCCCACCTCTGCGGTCTGTGGGCTTTGACTGGCGTTATCTGCATTGGTCAGACTAGAAGGCTGTGTAACGTCAACCATCCAGCCTCAGTCGTGCTAACTGGAGCTAAATGCAAGCGCCATGCAAGGATAAGCCTGTTCCGTTGTGCGTGTGTTGGTGCCAACCCTTGCATTCACTAGCAACAATACTAATGAATGCAAGCCGTGATATTTTCCAGGTTGTCGGATAGTATCAAGCACGACATGATGAAGGGCTTATTCACATAATTATGCCTTGCTTAGATCGGAAATAAACTGAAAACAATGTGTTAGAGAGCATTTGCTTCAGTAAACGGAACTCCAAGTGTGGGTGGGACTCGTACGTCTCGAACTGCCTGCCATATTGAAGGAATGAAGCATGTCTACCCCATCCTACCCCGTCGGGGGACACGGGTCGGGGTGATCTTGTCTGTGAGAGACCACTGGGATGGCTGAATGATGAGAGAGATCAACAGCTTGGGGTTGGAATGATGGCAGGCAAACGCGTCGTACGTACATACATAGGTAGTAGGCATGTACATGTAGGGGGTAGGGTAGGAAAAGAAAAAGCAAGCAAGAACCTTTGAATTAGACGAGATCTGACATGTAATCCGGCAGGCCTTTGCACCTCGGTGCTTTGTACAGTAGCTGCCCCTCTAGCCTTGATTATGTATGTAAGCCATCTGTAGCGATGAGAAAGGCCTGCAGGTGGTATACATCGATGGGCAGCGCGCCTCCAGGTGGGGTGAGCAGGTCTTGGACGTTCGCAGGTCTCGCTCTGGGCAAGGCCGGAGCCAAAAGGGCAAAACCGGGCGCCAATGTGGCGTGGAAAGTTGTAGTCACAGTCTTGACCAACTCCTCCCAAGGCCGAGAGTCGAAATATTGGCAGATCAACGTCCGATGTTTGGGTGGCGACCAACAATTCCAATGGTTAATGAGGATATGATGCACGCGGTTCTTGCGCGGTCTGTCAGTCTGCCTTCCACTCGCAATTGTGACCAATTCTGCATGACTGGGGCTCTTTGGGCTACCAACAGCTGCTGCGAGCTGCTTCTCTCTTTGCTTTTTCCCACCTGAATAGGGCAGTCAAGAGAGGACCAGGGCATGATGCCCGCGACTGATGGTGGTGGCGTGCCGAGGCGTGAAGAAGGCCGCCTCTAGAGAGACCACTTATGCCAAATCCGGCTGGACATGCAGTGTAGCACTTCTTGGGCCGCTCTGTTGGCTGAGAAAGGCTGCACATAATGGGAGCCAATGCAGGCCTGAGGGAAAATGGCTTGGGAGATTGTCAAGTCACAAAAGGGAGAGCTGAGAAGACTGTGGGACCCTCCTGTACTCGGTGGCAATGTACATGCAGCATGTATATGAATGCAGGAGTACACCAGCAGCCCTGGTTGGTATGTACATCACGTACGGGGCAATCGTCTGCACGTCCTGCCTGCCGCGTCCGTCCCCGACACAGATGTCGGCAGGCGCTTCGCTATGTACGCACCTAAATGGAAGGCGCGATGTGCAGGGGGGCAAGTTCGATCTCCGACGCCTAACACTGAGAGAAGATATCGTAGCCGACCCCACACGCTAGGTCCCTTGCCGACTATTAGTCCGGCGCTATCAAGCCGCGCTCAAGGAAACAATGACCCTCATCCTCCCAACAATCTGCTGAGGTAGTAAGCAGAGCTCCGCCCATCCCGCCTTGAGATCTAGTACTAGGTGCATATGTTGTTTCTTGGCCTCTCATCACTGCAGAGTCCTTTCTTTCTTTGTTTCGTCTTGAAGATGAGGCACCCAGGCACCTTGCCCCTAATACCAGTCACGATGACCAACCGCTTCATTTACCGGAACTTCGACACTCATACTATCATTCAATTAACACACGGCCCTCTTGTGGCGCCCATATAGCTTTGCCTTGACACTGCCAAGATAGATAGGTAATCTCTTCGACCTCTTCCGAGCCAACTCCATGCTTCCAATCTCCTCGTCAAGACGTATCCTACCTACTCTGTGTCTCTGTGACTCCCCTGCTCGTACTTAACCCACCACTTATCCATCTACCCACCTGCGAGATCCAATACAGATGCAAAAGCGTCTAGCTCAATGTTCGACATGTCGTAATCAGACATTGACTCTTCCCTACAGGACACCCTTGCGTATTTCCGTCATCATCGAGCATTGGCTTATCCACACACACGCAGCCGACCTCGATCGGTGTCCTGTATGACCAAGTATTCTTGGGGCGGCTCGTTGTCTCGCCTCGCCACACTCATCTCCAGCCGCCTCTTGGAAGCTCTATTCTGTCTTGAAGGGGATCACCCATACGACGGGATTGTTCCACGTACAGACTCAAGACGCTTCCATGCTATTCAGGGTGCAGTAACCGCTCCCGGCGGGGTGGCAACGGTTTGTTTCACCACAGCTGGTGATCTTCCTCAGCCCCAGCTCCTCATTCCCCATTTTCGTCTGCATTTTTCGACCTTTTTTTGCACTTAGAGTCTCTCCACGAGGATTGATAAGCGCCGGAGCACTCCGATTGCCATTGGAAACGCAGCCATGGGTGTTTACCCCACACTCTATAATGACCCTCACAAATCGATTGCTTTGACCTGAGGACCCTGATGAGAACATCACACTAAACTGCTTTCACCAGGATGCACGTAAAGGGGGGGGCAACTATTCACAGAGAGGAGAGTCGCTCCATGGGCCTCTGTGAGCCATCATAAACTAGGAAACTGCTAGCTTCTTGGTTCGGAAAGGGGAATCGGCCGCTCTAGTCTCTGGTCAGACGCAAATTTCAAGAGTTTCACTTTAGCGACTCTCGAGCTTTCCCCACACACGTCCCTACGTGGGCCATCTTCAGAGCCACTGTCCCATCACAGCGATGCCCAGCCCGACTCACTCAAGCCACGTTCGAGCTGGTTCGCCATGCCAGCCGTGTACGACGCGAATGAAACAGGCTAACTTATAGGCGTAGAAGGTCTCTTTCTGTCCTACAAGAGTAAGGCTAGAGTGGTGGGGATTTATGACTATAGACGGATCAGAGGCCCATAATTGGTTTTTTCTTTTCTTTTCTTTTTTCGTTTTCTTCTCTCTTTTCTTGAGATCTGATGAGTTATCTGACGGCATCGTCAAGGCAATGCCCAATTGAGGCTGATTTTCTGTAGACCTCTCTACCCCCAGGTATTGGACCTAATTCTTGTCTTCCTATAGTTTCGTACCGAAACTTGGGGCTTGAGACATGGGCCCCAGTTCGAGAAACGACTCGTCGCCAAAGAACATCCTGCATAGGTGGAAAAATCCGGATTAGCATAGACCCCTTCAATGTGGCAACAATTTGGGACAAGGGGAAGAGTCATGAAAAAGAAAGGAAAGGAAAAAAAGGAGGATTGAGAGTGGGCAGGCAGCAAAGCAGTGGTTTGGAAAACTCACCATCCTCTTTCGGCTCCTGAACTTAGAAAACTGCAATCGCTGTTTGATTCGCAGCGCCATGGTGGAACCACTTCCCAAGGGCTTGGTCTCTCCTTGCTCTCATCCGACATTGCTGGTGCTGCATCCGACACATGGGCTGCTTCTCCCTCCCTTATAGGCGGCCCTGCCGGCCGACACTGGGCTTGGCCCTGCTGCTGTTTCTCCCCACCGGTGGCGGCGGCAGCTGGTCTCCTGAAGACGCTCAGGCCACAGGTGAAGGCACCGAAATCTTGCACTGAGGGATCATCGGGGATGCAGCCTGTCAATACTCTCCCAAGGGCGATGACCACAGCGGCGTGTGTGCACAGCACCACTGCCCTCTTTCCCTCATTATCGCAGCGCTCAATTATGGCGCGGACCGACGTCGCTATCCGCTCGTAGAGCTGCGCCAAGGTCTCCCCCTTGATAGGCGCGTGCGTGGTTGAGCTGTAGTCCTCACAGATGGCAGGG